GTTGTGCAAATAGGTAGAGTTTGGGCTGTTATGCTCTCAAAGGAAAGACCTGAGAAATTTGCACCGGGCCAAATCATCTGGAGCAATCTGCTCTTTGTTGTTATTTATTTCCATTTAAAATATTCTTTACCCTGCGTCCAACATCAAAAGAACACTTGAGTGGCCAAAGCAGTCAAGACACAAATGTTGAAGCGGAACGGAACGAACAGCATACATCAAAACGGCTCACAAAATCCCTTTTGAAACTCAGGACGATAGAGCTTCCACGTGCAGGAGCAAGAGCGCACGGACCTAAGAGCAACGAGCCATGTGTGCTTTTCAGGAGGCCTTGGGGCCAGCCCGGAGAAGAGCGAAGTCATAACATCCCAATTGAAGCCCCCCTCGCGCGGGAAATGCCTCCCATCTCCATCCACGTGGCTACTTCTCAATACTCCACGGTGCCAACTTGGAAGGGGGGGGCTCTTCCCACTTCCCTCCCAGCCCACCTCTGTGTGCCATCCTCTCTATTTTTTTTTTAATTTCCAGCCCGGAACAGCTTTTGATAGGAAAAGATTGAGCAACCGGTTCCCGTAAGAGCTGCAGATGCTCGGCTTCTCTTACTTACGGTTTCACGAAGGGTAACTTATTATGACGAGTATAAAATCAATAGCAGAAAAAGAGAGGGAGGGAGGGAGGAAGACGAACCCTCCACCCCATTTCTGCATTATCTTGCAGCCTCCACTCCTTCAACCTTTCGCTTGCAAGCCTGCCGAGTTCCATAAATGGCCTTTTCTCCCTTTAAGAAAGAGAAACTTTTGCTCAGTTCTGCCGGAAAAATGAAAGGACAGATTGAGAAGTCTGTAAACAAGGGGGGGTGAATTCTAGAAACCCCCCCCTCTGCCCTGTGAATATTTAAGTGCTTAAAGAAAAACAAAAAGAAATTATCCCGGTTCAAGTTTCTAGCCCTCAACGAGAAAAAGATCTCTTTTTCTATCAGCACTGAGCGTCACCAAAACGGTGCCAAGGAAAGCCAGGTTCTGCTGCCATTTCCATCCCTATGGCCAAGTTTATTTATTTATTTATTTATTTATTTATTTATTTATTTATTTATTTATTGGGTGGATCCGTGACATTTTAGTTTATTTATTTATTTATTTGATTTATTGGGTGGATCCGTGACATTTGTACTCTCCCTGGTCTTGTGGTTTACTTCCAAAAGCAACTGGCTTCCTTGCTGAGCTCTACAGCTTCCCCACATCCTAGAAATTAACAGCCGGCTCTTCCTAGTTTTTACAAAATCAGTTACCTTTGACTTGCAGCAAATTCTCACTCGCCACCGGCCTCTAAGATGTGTCATGGTAAAGGTGGGGTGAAAGGGAACTATCTCTCTCTCTCTCTCTTTTGAAAGCCAATCAGGACTGGAAACTTACTTTTAAATAAAACAAACCCAAATAATCCACTCCCTAGTCATTATGGAGGGTCTAGTTCTGCTCGCGGGGTCAAAGCCTGGGTGCAGAAACGCATCACACGCAGGCAATCTGCAAGACCAAACTAGGAGGATCTGAATGTGTGGAAAGAACGCCGGGATGCTTGGCAGGGTCCAGGAGAATGGGCCCTTCCTTGCTACCTTAACCGTACTGTGTAGTTGTAAAGGGAGGTTTCCTAGATTTCAGATTCTGGGACCATGCCAAATATCCCAGCTTTCTGTCCTCGCACTCAGATCCTTCCTGTTCTCAAACCCTTTGGAAGCCGGAACAGAATCTCCACTTGTTCAAGACTGAAAGAGTCGGCCGACTGACCCCAGTGCTATAACCACTCCACCTGCTTCCCGCAGCCATGCCGAAATGCAATCCCCCCAACGATCCGGTGCACACTGAATGGGCGCGAGCGGCTCCTAAAGAGGAGGTGTTTAATTATCTGCCTTGATCAGTTTTTCGCTGGCTCCGGAGGGATGATGACGGGTGGCGCAGACCAGATGCGGAGGCTGGACCGCCGGGATGGAAGAAAAGCAGGAATCGCTTTGGCCGGGGGGAGGGGGGGATAACACACAACCGGGGAACCGGGCCATTTCCAAACCCGGGTGGGGTGAAATTGCCATGAAACCCATCGTTCCTTACTTGCACCCAGGACTGCCTTTGCACGCGAAGGGAAGAAAACCTTTGCCACTTCCTTGTGTGTGCCACAAGGCGGCAGGGGCACAGAGAGGGAGTCAAAGGGAGGCCGTTCGCTTTCTCTTTTCTTATTACTGCTTGTTAGATCTCAGTCCTGGCTCCTTTCCCCATTGGGAGGTCAAGGCTGTGTACACAACTCCCCTTGCCAATGCTACGCACCAACACACACACACACACACAACACCTCCCAGGTAATTCGAGCAGGGCAAACTGGGGGAAAGAAACTGGCCCAAATTGTTTCACAATTCTTGAGTACAGACATGAAAAGCCTGAACATTTTGGGACGCGGGGGGGAGGAGAATGTGTGGGTTTTCTCTCCAGTTTTCTTTTTTTAAATAGAAACCTGGGAGGAGGTTTTCTTTCCCCACGTTTTCCTCTTTTTTTTTTTAAAGGCTTTTACATTTCTACTCAGTGGGAGCTAGAACCTTGGTTGCCTTTGTCTCAGCTTAATGCCCTCATGTAGAGCCAGAAGTTGGGAGTTCGAATCCCCCCCACACATGGCCTCCTTGACAGGGGCTGGACTGGATGACCTTTACTGGATGAACAAACACAGCCCCCTGTCTGCCCCCCCCCGAGTTCCACTATCTTCGATTCTCCATAAACTGTTCAGCAACTGCAGAAGCTCCTTTTAAAAAAAAACATAAAGAGACATACAGATATCCCTGCTGGGGGTCCGTATTTTTATATTAAGTGAGCGCAAAATCCGGTGGTTGGTGGAAATGAGCTGAAGATCATCAGGCAAGATTTGAGGAACAGATCTAAGACACTCAAAACCTTGCACTTGTTAATAAAGATGCTACTATAAGACGGACACCAGAGGTTGGGAGTTCGAATCCTGCACCACCCTCCGGGGACTCCTTGACAGTGGAGTCGATGATACAATAGGGCCCCCCTTCTGCTCTGTTGGTGCATGATGATGATGATGATTTTGTGCCTGGGTTTTCCTGTTTGCCTTCTACCTCCTCATTCCTATTTTTCCAACTCAAATCATTTGTCTTTCACGGGCACCAGAGCTGCTCGGTGTGTGTGTGCGCACGCGTGTGTGTGCGTGTGTGAGAGAGAGAATCCAGAAGTGTGGCATCAAAACCTTTTATCGGTTCTCCAACTTCCCAGCATCTCCGAAGACGCCCCGTGACCAAAAAGGGGCTGTCGGGTCAGGAAAAGCGGAGTTTCTGCCCCAGGCGTGCCAGTGGGGAGCCAAGGAGGAGGCCACCCCAAATCCCAGAGAGGGGCAGGCGGAAAGACCAAGGAAGATCCTCTATCTGAGGCAGTTTCAGTCAGCCCGTTCCTAAAAATCATGAGGGCCAGCATCTTACCCTATCTTCAGAGGGGGAAAGCGTGCCATTTCCAGAATTTCCTCAAAACATGAGGACTGGAGCCTTGTGTTCTTCTAGAGGGAAGAACCGCAGCTCTGACGTGGGAACACAGGCTTGAGAGGGCAAAATCTTCCGGGTCTGACCCCCTTCGGGACCGTCTCTGAGGAGGACTGGGCACGTCTCTGCCGGAAAGTGCGCCAAGGAAAATTTGGGGAAGGGCAGCGTCAGAGACCAGCTTCTCTCCCATGGGGCCGGCCGGAAAAGGCATCCCCCAAATCCACAAAGGCTTTTGGGCGGGTGGCCCACATCGGATCAACGAACCGCTTGTCCCAACACTGCGAGAAGCATCCTTTCCTTTCTCAGCTTTGGTTGTGACTGGGGGAAAGACTCCCCTCCATGCATTGTCTCGAGAGCCAGAATCTGGCCCAAGCATCTCTGTAAAGGGAGTGATGACCGGTGCTCTCTCTGGCAGTCTCACTGAGAACATCTCCCAGCCCATCATCCTCTTTGCTTTGCCCACCAGGTGCCGTCAAACCACCCTCGACTCATGCCCCCCCTCCAAAGGAGGGCTCTCCCAAATCTCCCGTCCTCCATAGCCCTGCACAGCTCTTGCAAACTCAAAAGTCGGGGTTCCTTTAGGGAGTCCGTCTGTCTCGGGTCTTCCTCTTTCCCAGCACGAGGGTCTTTTCCAGAGAATCCTGACATCTCCTGTTGGGCTCGACACAGCCTCTGCCTCAAAGCTTTTTTCTCTCCGGGCTTCAACTGCCCTGGGACCCGCTCGTTCATCTTTCTGGCGATCCAGGATATTTGCAAAAGCACCCCCTCCTTTCGAAACAGAACTGAGTGGGCACATAGGCCTCCAGGTGCAGTTCGACTGCAATGACCAGCAGAGTCGGGCGGGGTGGGGGGCAAAGGACAATGGGAACTGCAACCCCATGCGATCTTCAGGGTCCCACATTCCCCAAACCCTGTTTTAAATCCAACAGCAGGAGACGCCAAGCCGATGAAAGTCCAAGGAAGGAAACACACACATACCCAAAATTTGATGAACAGCACATGTAGCATGCACCCCTGGGCGTAGGAACCGGCTGCTAAGAAATTCCTAAGAAAGCAGAATGCCCTTCTGGCTTTTTCCAGACTTACCCTTTTCAGCTCCAATGTCCTGCTTGGAACCTCACCCGTTACAGAACGGAAAAACCAAAGCAAAATTTGTGCTGACCAAGGAGAGGACGTCAAGGGACGGGCCTCGGTTCCATTCCCGGCCACTTTCTCTGGCTGAACGGCTCACGTGCAAAGCTAGCTTTGGGAGACGGGTCGCCAGGGGCGAGAAGAGCTCTCCGGCAGGTTAGCAAGTGAGCAGGTGGCTGGAAGAGAAATCGCATTCTCTAACAACGCCCAGAAAGCAAGCTACTGTAGTATCATTTTGGCAGGCATTAATAGCCCCTTTTCAGGTTTATTTACAAGCCAAGTTGAAGCTTTTCTTCCTCTTGCATGTTTATACTGGCCCGGGAAAGATACCAAGCTGTCTGCAAACCACAGTTTGCTAATTCAGGAACCGGCCGTGGAGATATTAAGCTTTCCCTTCCTCTACCATCACCAGTCCCCTTGTTCGTTGTAAACACAATTAGCACTGTTGGATTCCATGGAAACACAGGAAACCCACAGGATGTGGTAGAGCAGTCCAGATTCCTGGAAACTCTTCTGCTTTCAGTTTTTTTAAAAGCCAGGTTTCTAGTCCTTATGATGACAGAAACATGTTTGAGGAGAGGGGCGCAACACCTCGACGTTTCGAAGGGCAAAGCAGTCCAGAGATGGGCGAAAAAAGATCGCCACTTCCTCCATCTCTGTGTTGAATCGGGGGAGCTGGGCGGGCTTGCTCAGCCCCATCTCCAGCAAAACGGGAATAAAGAAACGGATGGCACTAAACAGAGTATAAGGACAGAATTGTGCCAGGAAAAAGGAAGTGCTAACCATCTGTGCAATCTGAATCATCTAAACATCTTTGCAGCCCTGAATCAAGAGTTAGAGGCATCCAGGTGATCCCACATCTGACTAGTTCCGGGTCCAAGATTACAGTTCCCAAGCAAACAGGGGAAGGCTTCATCCATGAAGCCCAGAACTGCCTCCATTTCACAGGCAGAAGCTCTCCAGGGCTGTTAACTATTAAAACACGGCATGTGGCCATCATTTGGGGAGATTTGGTGGCAATTTTCCATTTTTAATTTTATTTTTTAAGTACGCTTTTGCTTTTAAACAAATAACAGGTGAGAAATCGTAGAGGCAACGTGTTATGAGTACAAGAAATAATCACGTGCAACTCTCCTTTCCAAAAGAAAAGGAATCTCACAAACACAGGCGTTTTTAAAAGCGTCCTGACCAACCAGCGGCCACATCACCCTTTTCCAAAAAAAAAAGGGGGGGGGAGTCCTTCGGCCTGCAGAGCCAAGGAAACCATGGCAGACTCCGGCGCACAGAAAGAGGACACGCTCCACTTAACTTCTACGCCATCCTCTCATGGAAAAAGATCTGCCATCAAAGCCCAAGAGAAAGAGGGAGAAAAAGAGAGAACAGCGGCTCCAAAGGAGGGGGGTTACAGATAGACTGCCTCCAGGCTTAGAAGCTCCATTCCAGTATCAAAGCCCAGACGCAGGAACTGCCTTGAGCTGATTTGTGTCCTGTCTAGTACACTATTACCTCCATCAGCAAGGGAGAGAACTGGGCCCTCCAGAGGTTGAAGGACTCCAGGCCCTATCATCCTCTGTCACTTTGCTATGCAGGCTCGGACCAGGAGAAGTTACAGTCGAGGGGGAGCTCCCCGTTCTCCTTTGAGACGTCACCAACCCAGCCTGGCCCTCCACTCTGGTGAGTTATGAATGACACAGTTTAAATAAAGATTCTAGTCCTCATGACCAGTGGTTCTTAACCTTTGTTACTCGGACGCTTTTGAACTGCAACTCCCAGAAACTCCAGTCAGGACAGCTGCTGGTGAAGGCTTCTGGGAGTTGCAGTCCAAAACTCCTGAGTAACCCAAGGTTAAGAACCAGTGCTCATGACTGAGCAGGCAGATTTCAATTAAAACAGAAAACTCCCTTCTGCAAAGACTGAGGTGGCAGCTCTATGTGGGGGTTAAACTTAGGGTTCTTTCGGGGGCCCCATCGGGAGGTCTGTTCCACAGACAAAGCAGGTAACCTCTCTACCAGGCCCTTCTTGAAAAGCAACGAGAGGCTCGGTCTACCCATCTTTCGACTCCCCCTCTCCCCAACACACTAACCCTCCTCACCATGAACCCCCAGTTCCCCGTCAACCTCCTTCCGTGGCTCAGCCTGTTGCTCCCTCCACCCAGGAATCCTTCGGTTCCTCAGAACCAGGAGCATGACAGGAAACTGAACACTCAAAGGCCGAACATCCAGGACAAGCGTTAGCGCAGCCGAAGGAAGACCTGGCCAACCCCCACCAGCCTTTGGGGAAGTGAATGAATTCCTTGCCACCCTTGGTTTTGTTTTGTTTTTTTTAAAAAAAGAGAGAAACTTGTCAGAGAATTCCCTCTCTGGTCGCCTGGCATTCATGGTTTTGTTTTTGTTTTTGTTTTTTTTTTTAAAAAAGAGAGAAACTTGTCAGAGAATTACCTCTCTGGTCGCCTGGCATTCATACTCAGCTCGCCAAAGGCAACCAGGCGAATGCCTGCTTAGATCTCTGATGCCCACCGGCAGAGGTGCCTATAAGGTGGGAGGGCAGAGAAGGTTTCCCCCACCCAAAGACACTAACTCCCACGGGCCCATCCAGTGTGGCCAACAGTCGGGGATGACGGGTTACGTATTCCCCCACTTGAGCGCTTGGCCCCTCAGCCCGTTCTCTGCGACAGCCACCCTTTCCAGCAAACCCAGGAGCTGGCGCACATCCCTGGAGCTGAGCAAAGGCCACCCCATTTACAGAAAAGCCCCCAAATATCCTCCGAGCATTTATGTGTGCTGTCATCACCCGTAACAGGCACCTTTTATCGGCAGCATTAAATCCAACTGGCGCTTTGTACCTATTTAATGCAAATGCCGATACACGAGACATTACGAGAGTCATCGAGGGCGCGCACTGGGTCCAGAAGCAGCACGGCGTTTAAAATTTTATCACCGTCCAGCAAACTCCTGGACTCCAGAGCTTGTTTTTCAAGCCTTCGGCTCAGCTCAAGCCAACCATGCCACATCACACGCGTCACGCTGCTTGTGTCAAGAGGACTGAAGTCCAATCCGGGTGTTTGGGGTTACTTTCTTTCCCCCGGTGCCGGCCGAGGAAGCAGCGCTGTGCCAGGGACGTTTGGGGCCGAAGCCATCAGCGCCAGGAACGTCAACCCCACTTCCCTTCAGCTGCAAAGAAGAAACTGAAGCAGAGTTTCTTCAAACCAACCAAAAATCATGAATTACTTAACAATAGCTACTGAACGAATAGCGGGGGGAGCCGTGTGTGGCCATGATCAAATTTAAAGGCAAGACCAGGCGATGTACCTTCCCAGGCCACTCATCAGAAACCAAAAATCATTCACTCTGCGAGATTTTGGTGGGTAAATCCCCATGTCTTCAAAGCAAGAGACGAACGTCCCAACAATCATGGCAAGATGGGGTTTGCCAGGCGGATATTCTTAGAGGTAAACTTCTGGGTCAGACAAATTTTCTCCAGGGCCTCTGTGCCGTAAGCTGTGTTTCCACTCACTCCCCGGTCTGCCCGCCTGAGGCCAAAGGAGGGCTCGGGATGCCCTCCGGACGAAGAGGGCGTGCGCTGAACTTCACCCTGCCCGGGAGCAAAGAGGGCCCTCCGCTTGGAGAACTGTCACCGTTCTCCTCCTGTGCTAATCATGCCTGTTCTGACGAAAGGCCACCCTTTTCAGATAAAGAGTGCTCAGAAGAAAGTGGGAAGAGATCTCTGGGATGGCGCAGCTGGTCCAAGCCCCCCCCCCCCGGCTGGCTCTCCTCCGCAGGAGTCACACAGTTGGAGATTCAATCTCCCAACCTTCAGCTCCACAGCCAGAGACCTAACTCACTGAGTTAGCCAGCCAGGATCTGCTCGGGCACAGAGAATCACATTCCCAACATGCACGCACGCACGCACGCGCACACGAAATGCCATTCATACAAACAGGCCTGGCACCCACCGACCTTGTGAGCCCAGCGTTTCAGAGACAAACCCCTTGCCTTCCGATTCAGAGGGAGACGGGATAGCCCGAGGTCAGGGGAGTCGGAGACCCCTGGAAACGCTGGTTGATTTCTCCAGAGGGGAGCCGGATTGAATCTCCAAGTTTCTGCCCACGATTGCTTTTTTTAAAAATAACTCTTAATCATTATCATCTTAGAAGCACAGAGCGGGAAGGGACCCCCCCCCAAGGATCATTCCAGCCCCGCCCCTGTCAAGGAGGCCTGGGAGGGATTTGAACTCACCACCTCTGGCTCCGCAGCCAGAGACCTAAGCCACTGCATCCCCCACAAAAAAGAGATTTTATATACCCCACCACCATCAACCTCTTGCTATCTAAGACTATAAGCTTAGGCTGCAGAGCCACAGGGTTGGGAGTTCGATTCCCCCACGGGGCCTCCTTGTCAGGGGCTGGACTAGATGGTCCTTAGGGTCCCCTTCCAGTCTTATTTTCCAAAGCACCAAAAACGTTAAAGAGAGAGGAACCCAGGGCACTTTCTCTGCCACCATGGGGAGAGGAACAAGGCGACTCCTGACCATCCCGTGTAGGGTGATGACAAAGAATACCTAAACCATCTACCCCCTCCTGCTTTTCCAAGGGCAGTCGGGCGCCACTATGGGGCAGAACCTCGCATGGAAGAGACAAACCCATCTTGCCCTGGGGCATAAAATGGGGCCTCCCCAATGGGGGGGGTGTTCCCAGATGTTCTTAGATTACAACTCCCAGAAGCCTTTGCCACCCGCTGTGACAACCAGGGATTCTGGGAGTTGTAATCCCAAACCACCTGGGGACCCAAGGTCAGGAGTCACTGGCCTAAAATGACCCCCAAGAAGTTTGTTTCATGGCTGACTAAAAGAAAAGGGGAGGGGGTTAAAAAAGGACCCTGTTTCTAGATTTGCACACGGGAAGCAGCTTCCAATTGGCAGGACCTCTTGCTTCCAGGTGTTCAGATTTTGCAACCTGAGGCATTTCAGGTTCCTGACC